TATACAAGTCAAGAGTGAAATAAGGAAAGAACTCCATCAACTTACAGTGTTCAGTTTTGACATGGAATGGAACTACTACATTGCTTGTGATTCAATGCACAAACAGTCAATCTATATATAACTAGAGAGACCAAGGGGAAGCTAAAACTATGTACCACAAATAACGAGTAAGTCACGAAAACTACAAATATTTCTAATAAAGGGAAATGCAAACCATAAGGGTACAGATACCTCTGTTATTGTTTCATAAACATCATCTCCAGTAAGAGGAGCCTTCTTCTAGACTTCTTATTGAAGTAGTTATACATTATTCTAATCCTGCACCAACCATATGAGTAAGTTACTCTTTCCAAATTAAACTTTTCAAATTAAACAGAACACTGTAGGATTGAGTTAGACCAACAACTCATGTTTGTAAGAAGGACTTGTACTCTTAGGAAGGTTCAAAACTGCATTTCTGGCTGCCAAATGTGACAAAGAAGAGATCATGAAAGAACATAGCCAATCAACCCAGAGTGCGAGATTAACAAAGCACCAGACATATTAAGAAAGAGATTCACATATACAAAAAGGAAAAGAGCAAGAAGAAAGCAAAACCAACATGTCAACAATTGGTCTCTAACATTTAATTTGCTAATAATATCCATAAGCTTAATTAGATTGATTGGTGGTCATAGCCGCTGTGGTACATATTAATCTATGCAGCTAACTCACCAACCAACAAGATGCCAATACAGACCTTCTAAGCCATGAGAAAAACAGGTCACAGTGCACTACATTTTGTCCAAAATATGGTAAAAGAACTAGGAGCGAGTAAAGATGGCAATAAAAGAAAATTCTAGTTTCCAACACTGTCAAAGCATTTAGACCAGCATACATGGAAACAAGAGACCAAAGATGAGCCATCACCCATATAAATATATCCTGGGAAGCAATGAATCTCTAATCCAGTACACCATTGCAGTTCCAAACTGAAATCCGGATAATGGACTCACCAATTGAGTTGGAATGATCACACAAAAGAGATGATTCTTTGCAGCTTTGTAGTTAACGCAGTTGAGATTTGAGTTTGCATCACATGTGTCAGCTCCTAGAGTTATAGTTGCATACTAGCATGTTTTGGGAAGTTGACCTCACTTCCCAAATAGCATGGCCTCCCAAATCATAAATTTCAGTATAACAGAAAGGCATTGATTAAAAATATGCAATACTCATATTCTCCATTCTATAGAACAGAGACTTGATTGGATGCAACATGCCAAACATAAAATCTAAAAGCTGTTAAAGATGCTATTAACCAGAATTCAATATATTCTACCATAATGCACAAATTTATTCCATTTTTTATTATGTTTGGAACATAATTCTTGATAGTTCTGCCAGATAATCATATTGCTTAGGCTAACAACAAGACAGAACAAAATGGAACCAATCAAAACCAACAACAGAACATGTCTAAAAGGATATGATGACTCTTAATCAGAAACAACTTGGCACACAGCATGTTAAAACAAGTAGGGGCTACTGCCGCACCATATGCCATTAGTAAATCTTAATGGTCATTTTTACTGAAGTTCTTATACTGATACTCAGGACATCATCACTTTAATAAGAACGTGTTTATATTATTTTCCGTATGACCAATGAGTTCCATTATTCAATGTCCTAATTAATGTAAACTTATAATCTAGCAATAGAATATTTGAATTTCCTCTTTCCATTGAAAACTAATGATCTGTCATAGATGGACACTTCACCAGCACCAGCAGTTTATGACATTTGAATTCCCTATTTCTACAAAAGGAAAGCCAATAAAGAAAGAAGCTTTGAACCTAAAAATGTCTTGTTGATAAATGGACATACATTTTACATGTTATTATTCATTTTGTAGTGAAACATAGAAGATATGCATCAGTAATTTGAAACACACATGACACGGCATCAAGATCTACTCTAAAAACTACTGCCTTTTGCTAAGATCTGCCCTAAAAATTCAAACACAACTACAAATCAAGATCTCATCACACCAATCCAGGTAATACAGGGCAGATATCCTGAATCAGAAAAGAGAGCACAACGCAGCAACAAATCCCAGTTGAAGAAAAACCTTAACATTTCATTCGGCTGCAGAGGGGAATCAAATAAAATAAACAAACACAAAAGAGTAAAACTTTGTATTCTAAATCTATTAAAAAACAACAACAAGAACACCAAGAGCAGCAACAGCGAAATTGTCTCAGGAGCCAAACAGACCTTACCTTCTCTCAAAAGAGAGCATGCATACCCAAAAAAAAGCCAACATTCTGTGAGTACAATTTGGAGAATTGAAACCCATGTTTTGGTCTTTAAAGGGAAATTTAGATGCAACTGCGCTTTTTTCACTCAGTTAATCGTGTGGGCCCACATCCAAAGGGAATTAAGTGACAAAAACGGGAACAACAAATGAAAAGACAAAAAAAATCGAATAAGGTTTACACTCTCTTGTTCCTTTATTACAAACCATACCTACAAAACCTTCCATTGAAAACTTGGAGAACTAAAACGCAGTAAGCCTGTATAACAATCTCTTCTCCTTATTTTATAAAATTGGAAAAAAAAGAAAAAACTAATATTATGGTAATAATCATATCTATTATGGCACCTCCTCGTACTCAATCGGAACGGAATGTGCATATGGATATGCAATTTTTGCAAAACCTGATTGGATGATAATCATATCAGCATCATAATCTGACGCTCGGCTCCGCATCTTTTTTCCCCAGTCCTGAATACTCACCTCTATGACTTCTCCACTCTTGCAGAGATGCGGTTGTCCATCGCTAATGCACCGGACATGAAATCTTCTCCCGCACCCGGCTCCGCCATCCCATAATCTGTCACTTACCGCGACAGGGTAGATTGAGTCGGGCAGCTTCGATGAACCGTTCTTCTCTTCACAGGCAGTTCGTGCGAAACGACTAGGAGTATAATAAGATGCGGTTCCCGTTGGTGGATCCACGCCGGCATGGGAGAAAACCAGGGGTAGGACACCGAAAAGAGCGATTACAAAGGAGATGATCATCCACTTGATTGGATTTCCCATTGTTGGATTTCCCGTGGTTGGATTTCCCATGGTTGCCTATCTCTTTGGTAGGAACTGAGTTTCGTGCTTTTGTAAACAGTAAACATGCAAAGCTTACGTGGACGACCGTCTTGCCAACTCCCATTTTCCCAGTTTGCCCTCCAATTTTGCTTTGATCTAGTGATGGCTTTTTAGTCATTTTGCTTCCAGAAATTTTGTAGAGGAAAATCGCCTTCAAACCAGTGCTTTTGGGCCCGGCCCGAAGCGGCTTAAAACGGGCCGGTTGCATACCTCAGCCCGTTTTGTCAAATGGCCCGTTTTAACCCGTTAAAACCCGCTAGGCCCGCTGGATCTGTGCAGCCCGCTCCAATCGGCCGGGCTGAATTAAACTCTGCAAAACCCAGAACAGAGCAACCACCAACCATTGACGAGCTCCGGATCTAAAGTCTCAGATGCTCAGCCGCCTCCGTCGACGGCTCCACAGCTCACCGTCCAGCCCTTCACTGCTCACCTTCGGCTTCTTCCTCCACTTGACAGAAGCAGCAAAGCAAAACACCTCTGTCGGTGGCTCCACAGCTCACCGTCTACCTGTTCTCTCACTTTTCCGATGGATCTAATCGGATTCGACTCATACTCATCATAGGAGAAGACCCAGAGCTGGCGGTGATCTTTTCCCTTTGAGCCTGGGCCGGCACTCTCACCGTCTGTCTTTCTTCACTTGTTCACCATCTCAACAGGGAATGAGGATGGTGGAACAGAGAACAATTGGGCTAGAAGTGTCTGGCTGAGGAGAAAGAAGAGGGGCAGGGAAGGCTGGGGTGAGCGGCAGTGAGAAGAAGGTAATTGGCTGTGGTTGAAGGACTCTCCTGTCCGGGAGAGGAATTGGAATGGACGGGGAAACGAAAAGGAGGCTGAGTTCTCCATTCGAACCATCAGCAATTCAATTTTGACCCGACTCTGAATTCTGCTCGCCCACTAGCTTTTGTGCCATTCAATATGCTTCTGGGGGGCAAAAGGGGAACAATCGAATGAAAATGATTAAAGCGAATCTTTTTGTAACATTTTTTTTCTTATGATGTGTCATTTAAATTTTTTTTTATTTTTTTAAATGAAATGTATTTTTATTTATTTAATAATACATAAAAATTATATAAAAAATATATAAAAAAATTATTTTGATTTAACTGAATAAAATAGTAATATTTTAACTTTAAAAGATGAAAAGAACCAAACTCAAGATACGAAACTGGAACAAGCCTGAGGGTAAAAGAGGCAAATCACTTCAGTTAAAGGACTTAAACTTTACGTACCAATTTCACCCCTGGTTAGAAATAAAGAGAAGAGTAAGGCTCAATGATTAAAAAGGAAACTAAACAAATATTTTTTTGTAAAAAGCCAAAAAGCCAGAGTATTTGGAAGAAAAGGAAAAAGAAATAATGGTGAGCAAAATAGGCAAAAAAAAAAAAAAAAAAAGGATAGAGTTGCTTAGAGAAGTGAGAAAAAGGAAGAAAAAGAGAAACTTGAGAGAGAAAGGAAGATGCTGGAACTCAACTTTTTTTTTTTTATTTTTTATTCTAGATTCTAATAGGATTGATGGCTACTAATTGTTATTTTGACCTAGCTGAATTTAAAGTTTTTTCATCATAGAAAGAAAAGAATTAGCTTTGTGGTGATTTCTATTTTGTAGAGGTCTAAAGAAGGTTTAAAGAATGATCGTCATCATAAATCCTTTAAGTTTGAAGTATCGTATGCTATGTTGATATCATGAAAGCTTGATTGCTAGATGTGTATTCAAGGTTTGTTTTTTTCCATAAAAAAGGGTATTTTTTCTTTATGTATGATATATATTTTTTGTCATTTTTAATTCATTATGAAGGAGTAGTGGATTCAGCTCTAAATAGATAATTTAATTGATTAAAAATTTAAAATTATAGATTTAAGACTTAAATTAAGTGAAAAGAAATTAAAAAAATAAAAAATTTATTCTTTGTTATATAACACATTATTAAGTATACCAATAAAGAAAAAAGATAAACAGAAACAAAAAACGGAAAGCAGACAGTTTTGATAGGATTAGGGCATCCATCACGTGGCTCTCACATGAACCCCAACATGGGGGTCACATAGTAAATGGTCCTAATCCTGCGAGAATTGCCAGATAGTTCTGGCTTTTTACAAGCCCAAACAAAAATATCTTTTCCATCAACAAAGAAAGAAAAATGATAAACAGAAATATTCAAAGCCAAACTTCCAACTCCACATTTAGTAGAAAACAAAATAGAGTTTGTTTAAAATTGCGATTGGTTATGGGTTTAGTAATTTTTTTAATTTTTTTTAGTCATAAAAAATTATAATAATTTTATAATAATTTTATATATAAAATCAAAAAT